AAGTTGTTCATTCTTTGTTGTCTGTTGTTTTTTAAGGACAGTTTTGGGAAACTTACTCATATAGTGATATCTTGTTTAAAAAAAGAAACAAAGAAAAAGAAACCGGCATGAATGCATGTTTATGCAAAGAAGAGCCGGTGTCATAACTACTATTTTATAAATGATTATAGAGGTAATTAGAAGTCTTTACCTTTGCTTTTATGACACTGTTTTTCACAACTTGATTTTTTGATGTTCAGACATAGGATTAAGTTTTTACAGTATTTTTCCTATAAACTGCATTTCCTATGAGGAAAATGTGGCATTTTTAGAAACAAAGGTATTGAAAAGTATAAAATGTACTTTGATTTTATGATATATTAAGTAACTTATTGCATATTTTTGTTTTTTTAATTATAATTACATATGTAAAATATCAACTATCAATATAATATCTTTAATCATGAATAATATACATCTATGTTAAAATGAATCTGAATCTTTAATATCTTTGGTTGTAAAATTCTGTCCCTTGATTATTATTTTAGTACAGTTGGCAAAAAACTGTACAGAAAGATCTGTTTGCCGTAGAGAATTCCTTTTTTCTTTTCAAAGTCAGCTTATTTTGGTCAGCAACGTGAAAAATAAGCATTTATTTCTTTAGGGAGAATCAAACCAAGATTAATGTGAATTTGTAGGAAGCTAAGATAGCAGCCATACAACACCTGCCTTCTTATTTTGAATTCAAAGTTCTAGCAGTGGGAATACTATAAATATGATGTTATCCATATTTCTATTCACCTATTAAATAAGAATTCCTAAAATAGAGTGCCAGTATGAGAGAAAAATGTATTTAAATCATAAAAATCAAGTTCTACAAAAAAGTATGCCAGATAATGTGACCAGTGTCTGCCTTTAAAATATATTGCTGTATTCATACTAGTTTTGACTTAATTGATGAGGAGTCTCAGAGACCATTTGACAGTACCTGAGAGGCATAAAGAAAAAGCATAAAAAAGAAAAAAATTAAAAAAGAAAAAGCATGCATCCCAGTTAAATAATTTTAGTTAACTGTTAACATTAAATAACATAAATCAGAACTAAGAAATTATGAGATAAAAGTTGTTTTATAAATATTTCCTTTCCTACTGTGCATTTTTTAATTTTTTTTTTAATTTTTGTAGTTGTAGATGGACAGCATGGCTTTATTTATTTTTATGTGGTCCTAGGGATTGAACCTGGTGCTTCACACATGGTAGGCAAGTGCTCTGCTACAGAGCTCCAGCCCCAGCTCCCATGTTTTAACATCAGTAATCTTCTTAAGTCATTCTTGGTATAGACTTAGGCTTTTTTTTTTTTTTTTAATTGTGGTGCTAGAGATTGAACTTGTCAGTGCTTTACCACTGAGATAGATACATTCTCAGCCCTTTTTATTTTTCATTTGGAGACAGGGTTTCACTAATTTGCAAAAGATGGCTTTAAACTTAAAATTCTCCTGCCTCAGCCTACTAAGTAGCTAGGATGCCATCACATCTAGCTAGGTTTTGTTTTAATAAGTGTATATAATGAAAGTGTATTTTCTCACTGATGTTATTGATAAAAGCCCGATCTTTAAAATGAAGGATTGGTCTTTATTGTGTGAGTGCTCTATTTGTATTTTTATTAAGGTAGCTCTTAATTTTATGTAGAGGTGCTTATGCATTTACAGTGAGATAATGTCCTTAGTAAGTAGATCATAAGTTGAAAATAAAGTTGCAAAAGCATTTAATACACCTAACATTCTCAACATCATAGTTTAGTGACATAGCACTTTAAAGTATAGCTGCACTCACTACCACTGATCAGCATCAGGAAGAGTATCATACTACATATCACTAGCCTAGAAAAAAAATCCATACTTGGAAGTATAGATTCTACTGAATGTGTATTGCTTTGGCACAATTATAAAGTTGAAAAAATCAAACCATTGTAAATTGGGAACTGTGTATAGTCTTAAAACATTGGTTTCATCAGGCACAAAAATGAAGATTGTTAGCTATTAGACTACGACTGAAACTTAGGTGGACCCTGGACCTGAGAATTTTTTTTCACTTCATTTTCCAAAATATCTTTGACAAATAAATATAAAGCTACAGAAATATGTGGGTGTTTCTCTTGAATATTTAAATTAATGTAGTCAGCCATCTCATCTACACTTTTTTTTGTCTGTTTTTAAGTAATGCTTATTGTTAATTTGGAATCTCTGTGTGCTTTGTATTTGTTAAAATATTATTGTTCATTCGTAATTTTTTAGCAACTGCTATATATTCATTTAATAGTATAGGAAAGATTAAAAAATCAAAATGGAGGAAACAATTATAAAATAGTTGAGGGATGCTAACATAGGAAGATATGTATATAGTACGTGGACATACTAAGATTCTGATTGGTGTGTAGAGCAGGTGATTCTGGAATTAAGACTGGAAGAATTAATCAGTGTACCAATCAGTTGAAAACAGATGGCATATTCAGAAAAACAGTATTTTGAAAAAGACTTAATGATTTGAAGGATCTGAAAAAATTAAACTCAGTAAATGAGTTTTACTTATTTTTTGTGATTATATATACTCATCATCTTTAATAACATTTTCATATTGAAGATCCTAGTTATTATTACTGAATAGGGACATCTGTTTCCTTTATCCCTGAGACTACAATTTTGTGTCAGGGGTTTGCAGATGCAAAACATTAAGAAGAATGCTATAGGTAACAGGCTAATGTCTATAACTTAGAAACACTCTTTTGACCAGAGTCTAAGTACATCTATAAAACTTTGCCATCTAAGATTATTTGTTTAAATTTTAGAGCCTTTAAACCCCAAAGCCAAGATGTATGTATCATATATTTTGTACTTCTAAACAATTTCCATTTGTAAATAGTTTCAAACACAAATGTATATATACATACTCCAGTTTAATAGCAGGCATGTTTTTAAGTGCCTCTTTATCTTTTATTATGAAAAAAGTTAAAACACACAAAGGTAAAAAGAAGGGTAAGATAAATCTTCATATAACCAGTGTTTCATCATTGACCCTACCCCTCTCCTACCACACACATACTAAGAAACTAGTCTTGGACATCATCATTTAAGCATATTTAAGAAGGCATTCAGGAGAGGAAAGAAAAACACATGACAAAATTGTGAATTAACATACTCCATTAGAAAGATGATAAATGCACTTTGCAGATTTCTTTTCCAACCACTTAACTACAGGAATCTTTGTTCTGTTTAATACAGTAAGTCTGCTCATTATTTCTTGAACATATAGATTCCTTCTTCTGGGTTGCACCCCCCATCCGCCCCATCCCATGTTTCTGTCTCTTCTGGAGCCTATCCTCTATTCTAAATTGTTCCCTCTTGAAATATAATTGTTCCTGCTTTCTTCTCAACTTTTCTTCATGGAAACGTTCTTTGTTCCCATGGCTCAAGCCATTACTTGCACATGCTACAGTGTATTGTTATTTAGTTTTAAAAGGGTGTGTCCTTTTCTAGCTAGGTTGTAGCTGTTGTGCACCTTTCATCTATAATGGAAAGGTAATAATAATGTCTATGTCAGATAATGAAGATAAATAGTACAAAACAAACACTTAGTGAATATCACTAATTGTTGTTAGCCATAAACTACTGGAAGGAAGGCATCATGCCCCCCAGCATCTAGCCTCATTCCCCAAACAGAATACATGCTAAGTATACATTTAGTCATGTTGGCTAGGAGGCAGTTTGCTTTGTATTTCATGAGGTTATTATCTAATACTGTTTATTAAAATATTCATGTACATGTTCAAAATGTGACCTTTGAAAGATGAGCATTTTGAGGTACTACTGTGTGTTCTATCTAAAATCAATCTGTAGTTATCACTTGCTTTGAAGGGTACAAAATTAAAACCCAATTCAATTTAAATTCAAGTCACATTAAACTTTACCTTTGCTATATCCATGTAGTTATTTGCATAGAGAAGTATTAAAATGGTAATTACAAATCATTTTTATCTTTTTTAGACTATATTAAGTAACAGAAAATTTGAGGAATTCAGAGTTAAGAATTAGATAAAACTTACAGGTTTAAATAGCAACCTATAAGCAAAATATAGCAAATTTTTTTTTTCAAACATTTTTGTTTGGCTTTCTGCCTGTATCAAGCACATGGTCAGTTGCTAGAGACTTTAGAGTCTGATAACAGTGTCCACCCTTCAGGAATGACTATTATAACAAAAGTTGCATTTTTGTGTGGAAATAGAAAAGCGTATACTAAATGAAATATGAGAACGGAAGCAGATATGTTCAAGGAGACATCCTGAAAATGATGACGCTTGAGCTTTTTTAAAGAGTAAGCATACCTTGACTGTGAAAACTTATGGTTTCTTATGATTCCTTTGTTAACCTTTAGAATAAGAACTATTGACTAATGACTTTAAAAGAGTCTACTGGGGGAAAAAAAGAAATAGAAAAGAAAAGCAAGCATTGTCTAATTGCCTACTGTTTGTCCAGGCATGGAACATGATCTCTTAAAGCATATTTATCCCAGAAAAAGTTCAAAATTGAAAGAAGCTTTAGTCAACATTTAATCTTTTTTCCCCAATCTTCCCCAGCTTTACAGATTTAAAACCGAAATTTACGCCAGTAATTTCACTGATCATATGGCTAGCTACTGGAAGAGCTTGGAGACCATCGTGTTCTGTCTAGAATGTCTGTGTTTATTACATATTGATTTGCTGTGATCAGCTATTTTGAATTTCACAAAATTTTACAAGTTTTGGAATTGACAGTTTCTGTTGCGTCTCCTGCATTCCTTAGCCCAAAGAATGCAGAGGAATATGCACCTGTGGAACAGTTCATAATTCTGGTTTTATGTGTTGTCAGACATGTCATTCTGTTTGCCTTGTTGAAGAATTAAAAGCATGAGTTTTAATAAGTATTTGTCTGGCATGTCTTATTTAGACAGTTTTTCCTGTGATATTAATTTGTTTTTTTCTCTTTTTAGTCTGCCATTTTCAATTTTCAGAGTCTGTTGACTGTAATCTTGCTGCTTATATGTACCTGTGCTTATATCCGGTCCTTGGCACCCAGCCTCCTGGACAGAAATAAAACTGGGTATGTTACTAATGATGTCTGATCTTACAGACATTGAATGTAAATTACCATGAAAGTCATTAGATAATTTAATTCTGTTTGTAGTTTAGTTTATAATCACTTTTTATATTTTCTCCCTATCTTTAAAAATCCAAAACTTTATACTTATAGTATCTTACTAAATACAAGATAAATTTCACAAGTGATCTGAAGTATGAGCTGAAATTTAACCTGTTAAAAAAATGTATTTGAGGGATTATGTTTAACCTACTGAAGATGAAAACATTAATTGTCCATCAGCTTTTATGACAATGTCCTATCTTCTTTGTACACATTGTCATCTCCATTCTGCCCTTTTCTCTGAATTCCTATTGCACTTACGATTCAACACTCAACACTTTATTCTCATTAATCAGGTGTTGAGAATTCTAATATAATACAATAGGCTATTTGTACTTTTCTGGTGCTATTATGAAATTTTTCTTTCAAAAGAAAGGTTGCATGTGGAAATGTCTGCCCCTCAATGCTTTAGGTGCAGAAATGTATCCATAACATGCTACATTAACAAAGGAGTTCTCAGGGCTGCCAACCTTACAGTAGAGGTTGAGTGGTAGTATATTTCTCCAACATAAAGAACCCAAAAAAAGCATTTCTGTTTTTACATTTGAATGTCTAGATTAATACAGTCTACTATTCAAAAGTTTTCTGAAAGTCCTTGTTTCTTCTTTATAAATGTTAAGCACTATTTTGATTTGTACATGTGTTTTCCTTAGAAGAAATTTTTACAGACTGTCCCTTTCTGTTACAATTACGTGTTTTTTATGAGATTCATAATCACCTTTTCTTTATTATACATACCATGTTTAGGTGGAGATGTCTAGACAGATTGGATAAAGCAGGTTCTTGATAACTGCACTATTTAAATAACTTCATTTTTGCTGCTTCAAATAATATAGAACTAAGCAGCAGCAAAACATTGCTATTTATCTTTTTCCTAGTTTTATTGAACTTATAGCTATATCAACAGATTTATTTACTGATGTACAGCCCTAACACTAAGTTTTTATCAACTATTTTAATAGTTCCTATTTTTTTAACAAATGCTTATGATATTGCAGAAATATATCTAGGTAGAGAAATACGTTGAAAAATCCAAAATCATTTTCTTGATGATACTTTGTTATTCTAGAACATAAGACTTGTAAATATATGGCTTCTGTGATATAATGATTTCTGACTATGTTCATTGGAATGCCAGCTGAAACTCTTCCATGGTGAGTCTTGGAGGAGCTTCAGATAACCTGCTCCAGGCACTTCAGCCTATCTCTTCAACCAGAGTAGCTTTAAATTATTAGTGGTATTATGATCAATCGGCTTTTAGAATCAAGGAACCTATATGGCTTTGCATATGCTTAACTTGTTTTTCTTCTGTTTTGATGAAGAAATGTTAGCCAATTTTAAGTAATGTCTAGTGTTAGTGTCATATGTGCCTTAAGCCTGTATATTACTAAACAGCATATTAGTCACTATTATAAGGACTTTCCATATAATCCCTCATTTTTTCCTCAAAACAACTTCATGAGAGTAATTATGCTAATATTAAAGAGAACAAATAACCTCCCCACTGTTATGCATCAGTAAGTAGGACTAAATTTAAATATAGTCTAGCCTTTTATATTAGCTTATCTTCCTTTCAGAAATGTTACTGTCCTTTCATTCCTACAGTAAATTCGTTTTACTTTTCAGAATGTCCATCCTTTGAAATAAACTTATATTTTTGCTCATTAATTTAAAATAAACTGAGAGACTATGCTTTGAGGTCAGGAAGTTGTTACACTTTTGGAGGAAGAACATATATGGGAATTAATTGAACCAATATTTTAGTATTTTTTTAAATCCTAACTATTAAGATATAATGATTCATTCACCAGCCATTTATCTATTCAAAAAAAAAAAGTATCATATAAATTTCCCTGAAATTAAAGTATTGTGATTTTGTTGAGCCAGTCTTTATGTTAGGGGAAAATATTGTTGGTTTATCTTAATTTGTACCACATGTAATTCTATTTATAATTCTAATCTTGTCAGACCAGCAAAATAGTGTCTACAATGTTTTTGTTTTTATTTTTTAGATATCTCTGTTCATTGATGTTAGAGTTGCTTTATTATTTTCAAAGTTGTTGCTTTTTCGTATGTGCCAAATAAATAATGTATCCATTTATATGTGTTTAATTTATTTAATTTTCATGGAGTTGAAAAGAACACCTTCATTCCAGTTCTTATTTATGGAATATGTGTTTTAAAGGTAATATTTAGTGAACTCATACTTAGTTTTTCCTAAACTCTGAAACTTTTTCGTGAATTAAAAAAAGCTACATACTTTTGTCTTTCATTAAAAACAGCTAAGAAATATTTTTTTAAAAGACTGCTATATACTGTATTTCCCTTTATTGAATGACATAGGTAAGCAGTATCACTGCAGTTCATGATTATAGATTATTATATAATGTCAAAATTCAGCGAAAACCTATGTTTATGTATCATTTTTTCAAAATTAATACTTAAATTGTCAAAGTTTCTACCCTTTTTTTTTCTTTTGGTGGTACTAGGGATTGAACAAAGGCATCATGCATGTGCTAGCAAGTGTTCCACCACTGAACTGCATCCCCAGCCCTTTTAATATCTTAATTTTGAGACAGAGTCTTCCTGATTTATTTAGGCTGGCCTCAAACTTGCAGTCCTCCCTCCTCAGCCTTCTAAGTAACTGGGATTAGAAGCATGCACCATTGAGCAATTTTCTGCTTTTCTTTCCTTTTTTTTCCCTGCTTTTGAAGGTGGTAAAGCACTTGAATAAAGTTGACTGAATCAGTACAAGAAGCCCTTATGCAAACTTTTACCACTCTCACATTAATTTACACTGGTTTTGACTTATTATGCTACCTATGTTCTAGTTCATAACATTATCCATTAATGTTTGATATGCTATTGTGTCCTATTTTGATACATAAATGGTGGCTCAGCATCAAACAAGCAGATTTCAGATTTGAAGCTGAGTTTTAAGTGTTAAAATGACAGTGTATAATTAATTTTCTATATGATATTGACAGAATGAGTTAACCCTTCCCAGTAATCAATAGCCACTTTTTTTTATTCTGTGCAGACTATTGGGAATATTTTGGAAGTGTGCCAGAATTGGTAAGTGTCTATGATTTCTCTTCATTTCTTCAGCTACAAATGTTGATCAGTTTACTTATGTCACACTCACAAAAATCAAAAGTCAGTTTTAAAAGTACAGACTTCCCAATTACATGCACTTTTGCAAAAATTTGTAGAGCTCCAAGTTTTTTTTTATGCTATTTAAAACTAGATTCATGAATACTTCATAATATTTCATTAATAGGGAGTTAGAAAATAGAAGAAAGGGGCTGGAGTTATAGCTCAGTGGTGGAGCACTCACCTTGCACATATGAGACACTGGATTCAATCCTCAGCATCACATAAAGTAAAGGTATTATGTCCATCTACATTTAAAAAAATAGAAGAAAAGTCACTCTAATTCAGATATCAAATATCTTGCATCCCTAATTTTGAGATGTTAAACAAATGTATATATAATTTTATATATACATATTCATAGTATAGAGCATGGTGTTCTGTATCTTATGTACCATTTTGATAAGAGGATTTCTCATCTAATGAAAAGCTTAAGATAATTCAAAACTTGTATGTTTCTATATGTGAATAATATTAAATTCTTATCCCATATTCTCTCTCTCTCTCTGTCTCTCTCTCTCACACACACACACATATATATATGTATATGTATATATATATATAAAATATCACTACACACATCATATATTCAAAATGGTTGAATAATAAATTATACCCTTTTTTAGCCTGCCTGATTCAAAAAAAAAAAATTCCATGGCATTTGAATTTGTACTTAATTAACAACACTTGGACAGAAAATGAATATTACCCTTTTTGGATTATATGCAAACCAAAAAATTTTTATTACTCCTCTTTTAACATTGAATATATGCATACCTACTTTTTTCTTTCACTAAGATGTGCACTTTCTTCTGCATTAGATATTTAATCTAGTTAGCCAGCCTAACAACAGCCTGGATGCCTCAAATATAGAACTTTAATAAACAGGCTGGGGAATTTAAAGTTATTTCCTCAGATAAACTGTGTTCCCCTTAGAATATTATGTTTTACTTTGGTTTTCATCTCCATGGAGATGTAGAAATTTTACAAGTTTGAAACAATATTATTAGAGATGGAAACATATAAACTAAGTTCTCATACCACTTACCAAATTTTTCTGAAGATGATCTGGAAATCAATATAATGTATCTGAAGTCTTTAACACTTCTTCCAAATTCATATGTTAACCATTGAACTAATTTCACAACAGTTTTTTCTCTATTGAATGTTTAATGATAGGCAAGACCCCATTAACAACTTCCATAAGTTGTAAGCATACTAAATTATCCAGAATTCCTTTCTAAATCTGTGATAATGAGATTATGACATTCTCTGTCCTCTCAAGTTTGTAGAAACTGATAGTATAAGCATAAAGGCCCTCATATACTATAGTAACTTTTGCAATTGACATTATCTTCCAGAATATTCAATGTGCTTTTAAATGTTAAGTTGCCTTTTCTCTGATCATACTGTATTCTCTCTTAGGAAGTCAGGCATGAGGATCTTTTGTAAGAATAGCATTGACCTTAAATTAGTAAAAGCACAGATGTAGCCTAGATAAGTGGTTATTAAGAAACATTTGGCATTGTCTAAAGAAAGTTCTAATTGTCAAAAGCAGAATGGGAGACATACAGTGAGTGTAAGTCTAGGATCTTGCTAAACATCCAAGGGTGTGCAGGACAGCCCCTCACAACAGAACTATGCATGCCAAGATTCTGTAATGCTGGAGTTGAGAAGGCCTGGCCTAGATTTACAGAGATCTGTGGTGCATACTTATCTGGCACTCGGGTTGCACGACAGCTGCAAACCCTGAAATAACAAAAAAAAAATCTTAAGCACTTCAAAGAAAACTCAGAAGACAAAGATAGAGAGAAAATATCACCCTTGATAGTTAATGCTAATAGCTAATATCTAATGGTTAATGTAAATATATTAAACCAAACTGCTTGCTGAAGAGGCAAATCTTCCTGAAAAAGAAATAAAAACATTGCCAAGGAATGGAGTAATAAGAATACTTCAAGTAAACTGCAAAAAAAGAAAACAATGGAAAAGCGGGTCTGGAATTAGACCAAGTTCCATCTCAATTGTATTGTTTAATTGCTAACTTATAAAGAAAATGTTAAGGCATTTTAAGTCCATTTTATGTAATAAATTAGAAAAATGTGTATAGCTCCATTCAGTAGCCAGCCTGAGTGACACTTCTGTTCACAATTGCCTAAAGAAAGTATAGTTGAAGGTGAAGAAATATAGTTTGTAGCTTTATTAATGATCTCCTATAATCTATTTCTATGTCTAATTATAATTTTGTAATTTTAATATGTAATTATAATTTTTGTCTTGGCTTGCTCTTTTTATTTCTATTTTCCTCCCTTGGCTATATGAATACCTTAGGTTGAATGGGTCAATTAAAAGTATTCCTCTTGCCAGTTGTGGAAAACATTAGCTTTTTATTTTAGCAAAGTAGCTTTGAAAATGTTGATGTTATATGCTGCTTGCTCAAGCACATGCTCTTCTTTTCTTGACACACAATATATCCACAAAGAAAGGATGCTGTTTAATGGGAAAAGACCTAGCCAAATCATCTGATCATGTTACACATCACATTACAGCAACTGTTTCACATTCACTTACACAGACCTAAGACCAGACAAGAAGTAACATTCTTATCCAAGTTCAACCAGAGATGTTTAACTCTACCAGATGGCAATCTCTTTTAAGAAAATTAAAAACAGGAAAATGAAACCCATATGTAAATTATAGCATTCTAAGTCAGAGGATTAGGAAGAGAAGAACTTCCTAAAAAATTAATTTTCAGCAGATGGAAAACTTAGATCAGAATTAATTGCTTCCTTTAGGTGTTTAATAAGACTGTCCTAAACAAGAAGAGTGGCCCTAATAAGTGACAGACTTGCTTATGAAATCCTCCTGAAATCTCTGGAAGAAGGAGGTGTTTTTGTTTTGTGTAATGAGTTGGCTTTTTTACCTTAAAAAATAACTATTGTCATTGAACAGGCCCAAAGATATAAACTTACTGATAGTGTGGTAGTGTGAACTTGATGAGGAAACTCTGAAAATGGAAATGGCCTTGAGGATTTTAGTTAGTAAGGGTGATCAAGACTGACATTTTCTAGTGCTAGTTAGCTGAACTTCCTAGATTAAGAAAGGAACTTGGTTATTAGGCAAGAGTTGACTGTAAACATGATAGAAAAATACAAATGAGGGAATTGTAATCCATCTCTACTAAAGGACATTGAGTATAGCTCAGGATTATTTCTAGATGTGATTTGTTCCTCCTTCCTTTGTTTTTATGCCTAGTGCATTATGAACTAGTACAACCTTGCAGTTACTAAAGAAACAGAAAAGGTCAAGATGAATTTGAATTAACTTACTATCACTGGATCTGTTTGCAAGGTAATTTCCCAAGCCAACTTCAGGTACACATCATGCAAAGGAAAGTCTTCAAATATAAATACTCCTTAAACAATGTGGAAATTGAAATTAGGTATTTCTGATCCTGAGTAATCAGACTATGATTGAGCATCCCTATCTGAAAATCAAAATGCTCCAAAATCTGAAATTTTTTTGAGCACAGAGGTGATGCCGAAAAAGTTTTGGATTTAGGAGCATTTAAGGATTTTAGACTAGGGATGCTTCAACAGTAAAGTCTATACAAATATTCAAAAATCTGAAATTTGAAATACTTCTTATTTCAAGTATTTCAGACAAGGGATACTCACCTAATAAAAGACTTTATGTCAATATCTATCTCAGAAATATTCTCTCCTAGGGTTTTTTATTATACATTTTATATCCTTTTTTTAATACATGAATGCCTCTTCTTCATATTCCTGTACATGTAATGAACTGCTACCAGTGATTGAAAAAAAAAAATGTATAGCTAAATATTGTATGGTGAATTTCTTTTTTTGGTAGAAAATCTTTTTTACAAGAAGAAAATTAACTCTTTTGACTTCCATTGAGTTACTTAAGATCATTTCTCTTGGATCTCTGTCCTACATATCCTGCATTATATTTTTTAATATTTTGTCTTAATGCAGTGACATAGAAATGGCACTTTCAGAGTTTTCTAAATACTTAAAAAGAAGGTAGTCTCAGAAATAAGTCAGTACAGGTTAAATCATTCCATATTTGACATGTTTATGTTTCTCTTCTTCCTCCCTACCCTAGTATGTAGGAGTCAAGAGGCAAGAATTTTATCTTGATTCATGTGTATTTCTCTCCTATAGTAATAGCCTTGTCATGTCCATGTTAGTCATTTTATCAAAATGAATATCTTCTTTTTTTCAACAGGTGAACGAAAGAGTCCTTATGTTGCAGTATGCTGTGTAGTGATGGCCTTCAGCATCCTTTTCATACAGTAGCTTGGAAAAATGCCAGAATTTAATTGCCGTCAGACTTCAGTGTGAACAAGGACTTATCTGCAGAAAATAATGGAAAGAATGGTTAACCCTTTTATCTCTGAACATTGAATGAGAGAAATTTCCAGATGGTGTTCTCTATTTTTATGTTATTGGACCAATGTTCTGTATAAATAACTAAGATACAACCATTTGATACGCAGAGTTTAATAGTCTGTAACAATCAACCTCAGTACTGTTGCTACAATATTACATTTTGTGCAAATGTCATTCTGTTGTGTCTGATATCAGTTTTTAGTAGAGTATTTTTAAGGCACATAGTAGAAAACAAAATTGGTGAATTACTCAAGTTCCTTTCACTGTGATTTGGAAATGATAAGTCTTTACAGAATGAGACCTTTTTGGATTAGCTTTTTAATTGAGAAATGGTTCAATTTTGTGTTGGTAAGGATTGCATTCATATTCAATAATGTTTGCTTTTCCTCTGGCCACACGAGTTTGACCATTAACCAGAGTGCCTCTACTCTTAACAAATTTTGTAGTTTATTACAGGTGTTTAAAATATTTAAAACAAGCCCATGCAGGAGTCAGATAAATGGAATGTGACTTAAAAGCAGTACTAGGAAAATGTTTATATTTAATATAAGAGGGTTTAGACTAGCCTGATTGACTATGGATATGTCTTAAGCATGAGTTTGAACAGCTAGCTGTTGTTCTCTGAAAAAGATAACATTCTTAGAATGAAAAGAACAAAACAGAATGATTTGTAGGATGATAATTCAGTGGTTTCTATTCTATTTAATGTTGACTTTTCAAAATGTTCATTTATTTTAGTTGCCCCCTCAAATGAACTGAATTTAATATAGCACTTTCAATCTAGTTTATGTTCTGCCAACTTGAACTAGAATCTCTCATAACTTTTTAGATGATAAACAGATCTCATATCTACCATCTACACTAATGTCATAAATATCTTTCTATGAGCTTTTATATCGAAGGAAGACTAATTTTTAGTCAATAAAACAAATATTGGGAATATGACTTATAGATCTCATAAGAGAACAGTTATAAATTTATGGTTAACATTTCTTTAGGTCAAGCTAAAATTTACATACTATTTCAAAGCTAAGAGGAGCTTAAATCTTACCAAAAATTTCCCCATTGTAGGTAGTGTTTATATTAGATGTTATTTTTAATCTATTAGTATCTGCTTCTATAGAAACAGTATAGAATTTGAAACTATCAATTTTTAAAAGCCACTTTAAACTACTTGGAATGAATCCTAGGAAACATCTAGTACAGTTTATGTATTGCCCTGTCTATGGTTGGTTATCAGTTTAAAGGCCACTTTAAACTACTTGGAATGAATTCTAGGAAACATCTAGTACAGCTAATGTATTACCCTGTCTATGGTTGGTTAGAAGTGGCATTTTATTTTGGACAAGCAATCTGGTTATGATAATTGTTTCTACTCTGAACTACATCTTGGGCTTTGCATTAGGTCAAGGATCTTTAGGCTATCCCCAAAATAGGAAACTTGTCAGCATACCCATGCAGAGAAGTCACCTTTCTAGGTCTAATTTCTGGGTGGCCATCTGTTGTCCAACTCTGCTGCCAACTGGACTTTCCACAAAAGATTTGTCAGCTTTTTTTTTTTTTTTTTTTAATGATAACACAAATCTAGTATGAAAAAGGAAAGAGGATTCTAGAAATCAGTTCTAAGATATTTTTAATTTGGCATTTTCAAGGAGGAGATGGAAAGCAAAGGAAAAAATGATTTCCTTAGGAAAATTTTTGGTACCCAGAGCGGTAGTGCATGCCTATAATCCCAGCAGCTTGGGAGGCTGAGGCAGTAGGATCGCAAGTTCAAAGCCAGCCTCAACTACAGTGAGGTGCTATACAACTCAGTGAGACCCTGTCTCTAAATAAAATACAAAACAGGATTGGAGATGTGGCTCAGTAAATTGAAAAAAAAAAGAAAAGAAAAAAATTTTGTGGTAACATAAAATTTTACTGTGTATAGGTGTTGAACAGAGTGGGAGGCAGCTTATTCCTAACCCAAAACATTCTGACCTTTTGAAACACAAGCTCTTTGAGAGGTGGGGAAAAGACACAAGATCTATGAAGAAAAGCAATTAGCATTTTCTTATGTTTTTCAAGGAGTTACCATTGAATCTTGTTTTCTAACCCAAGGGCAGTGTAGATGGTTTTAAGCCCACAGAATATTCAGATATTTGCCTACTAGTAGGTGGAAGGTGGTGAGATGTAAAAGAGGATTAAAGATTGACCTAAGCATCAAATGCTCTCCCCTACATCTGTCACATAGACTTGCCACAGAACTTGAAGTTAGGATGCATGCAGAAGTTCGTAGCATGCTAGGTTCAGATGCTCTTCCTAGCTTCATTTCATTCTTTTGCTTCTTTTAATTCCATCTCTCTGAGATTTTGTTTTGTGCTTAACACTTAGTTCCTGGTTAGTTTCAACTGTGCTAGCAACAGGAGTAGGTCTCCTTTCTGGGCAGTCTTAAAAGAGGGTCAATCAAAAAGCCAGAGTCTATAGAATTCCCCCATAAGCTTAAAAGTTGAGATTCAAGTCCAAAAGTGTCTTGTTAAAGCTTGTTCTACTGTTCCAGGTACTCGCCTGAATGTTCTTACATGTTCACATTCAAAATAGTTTTCCATGCTGGGGAAAATAGCAATATGTAATTTGTAATAGACTTCTTCATCTTAGTAATAAGATGATTAGTCTAGTTTTACCTTAGGACAAAACAGCTTTGAATGAAATAAGTTTTCCAAGTTTACAAAGTAAAAAACAAACAGATCTCTGCTTCTTTTTGTGAAAAAGATTTAACACTTGTAAATAAAATATTCATGTGTCAAAAAGCATTTATAGAATGCATATGTTAGATTATTGAAAATAGAAGCGATAAGTACTCAGTTTCTTCTCTGTAGTCATAATGTAGTAAGAAATGAAGTTATGTATATAATGGATAGCAGTTACTGAGATAGTCCCAGGATCTATTTATAAGACAATAAAGAAGGTGACAGTTTTGTCAGAATGTGAATTTCTTTTCAGAAGAGCAGTGGAAAAGCTGAACTTGAAAGTGTGGTGCAAGAGCACAGTGGTGTTATGAAGATATAAATAAATACCTAGTTTTTTGTGCCTATTGCAGAGTATTAAGACAGAAACCAAAAAGCTGGACAGACGTTAAATCCTAAAGGGTCTTTTATTTTTCTCATTCCTATCCATCACCTACCTCAAAATTGAAGTTGAATATGTTTTCCCTCCTGCCTAATACAAAACTCCTTCAAGAAGAAGGTAGCTAGAGACAATAACCTGTTAGGTTAGTATTTTCAGGAGCTTGTACTCCATGCCAAAAGCATCCCTGATGTTAAAGCACACATCTCCCCAAGAAGTTAGGGTGACTACACTGTCTTGATGCCCAGAAAATATTTCCAGTAAGCAGGGATTTGCGCTTTTATCAAGCTTTTGAGAAATCACTGAATCTTAACAAGCTCAAACAAGACTGGAAGACTCTTAGGGACCACTCTTCACTTCCTTGGTATCCATCCATTAACAATAAATGTTCAAAATATGTAGCTAATATTAGCATTGTGAGTTCTACTCAACCTTGATAATCTGCACATCACTAATAGCTTCTGAAAAGTACCTCCAACATCATATACTGCCTTCCCTTGATTGCTTTTACTTTGCCCAGACTAATCCCAAAATAATCTGAAATGCTACTTCAATATTAGGAAAAGGAAGAGATATATGTCCTGTGATTTTTTTTTAAGAGTATAGAGATACTCATCCTAATCTCTGGTTAGTTCATATGTCTAGTGTGTAATAAAAATTAAAGTGAACTTTCAAGAGCCTCTTAGTGTTGTCTTTTGCCAGAATGATGAAAAGTTTTTAGAAGTTAAAAAATTGAAGTTGTCACCTTTGTAGTAAGACAGGAATGAATAAATTTTCTATTTTAATTTATATTTTAATTCATGGCTGGCCAAGTGGTTTGGGGAACTGGTGTTTCTATTGGTTTTTATCTGAAAACTGTACAATCTCTCATTGCTCTTTCTTCTAGCAGCCTAAGTAAATTGGGTGGTTTGCTTTGGATATGAAATCTTTAATTCTACCAGAGACGGTTGAAATCTGGTTTTTAGTAAAAGTGACAATTATTAATTACTGACAAGTTAGTTTTAACCTTGTTCTCAAATAAGAGCCTTCAGATACCCAAACATTCTGGCAAGGAGCTGTCATTCTATGTCGAAAATTTGCTTGTGAGGAGTATCCATCAGAGATTATTTAGCCAGTATATACTACTAATTGAAAAAGATTTGTCCCTTGCATCAGCGTTTCTAAAGTACTATTTTTTCCCCAGAATTGAATCAACACAAACTTTATTAAACAAATTACTAGAAAAAATTTACCTTATCCAATGAATCTCTACAACTTTGTTTTTAGGTAGGTTTAGAACTCAAAAAATAATTCAGATATGAATAGGAAGATAAGTTGTTTCCTCAGTGTATATTTGTAAACTTTCATGTTCCATTATAACTGTCAATTGATACAAAACCTTACAGGAAAAATTACTTTTTTTTTTTTCTAAGTCAAAAAAACTTTGCTTTAAACCATTGAACTTAACACCCAGGAAAACAAAATTTGTCTTCATTTCAGTGGTTTTACATCAGTATCCACCACTACAGAATCATCTGGGTGTGCAGGGAGTCAAAAGCATAAATACTGAAAATAAAAGTAAGTTACTTCACACGTTTTGTAGAGGATGAGAACATTAAAGAACTGTGTAATATCTGGAAACTACAATTTGAGCTTTATTTCACAAAGAGAATGGTCTAGGAGCAAGTATCTAGGGCAGGTTCCCCAAAGTGTGAAAACCTGTAATTTATCTGCCATTTTAACATATTTGGCCAACTATTCATTTTACGTTATATACTGGAAAAGTAATGTACGAAGGCATTAAAATTTTAAACATTTTAAGACAGGATTTCAAGAAGGCCAGTATCGAAGAACCTTTGTAGTATCCACATTTAAACAAAGTGATTTGCAGGTATCTTGATGAAATGAGAAGATTGAGCCTTGGAAATTATAAAGTTAGGAAAATACTGATTTTCAAGATGGTGTTTTTCTTTTGATTTTATTTGATAGGAATACTATCAAATTTCACCTAAAACTCCTCTGGTCCACACTAAGCAGAATCTTAGAGACGATTCTAGGAAATGTGGTACCGGCTAAGCATGTTAACCTGACAGTCATCACACCCTCTAACACGCTTCAGCCTCATTTCCTCCCAGCAACTCAGACTCATGCCAAAGAGAAAACTTCTAAGTCTATTTTTTCTTCTGCACTTCCTTATTTTTATAAACATTAACAGTTTTCATTCTTATAAATTCTTGTAGCCCTTTTGGAACGACCAACCAACTTGCTGATTTACTAATATTAGACACAAAGAGGACTTCCTGGAAAGCGATGAGAGAATTTTGAGTTGTAAAATATAGTTTTAAAGTTGACAATATGCAGTTGAAAGCTGTAGAGCACACATAGGCTGATAAAGTTGGATGAGTTTTTCTAAAAACTTAGTTTTAACTAAGTAAATGTTCAGATCTGTGAGTGTGTTAATCATTCTTAACATTTAAGTGAATCAAAGGCCAAAATAATAATGATGGTTTTAGATCCATAATGGTAGTTGAATTGTTTTTTATTTTTCAGGATTCCCATCACAAGTATTTTCATGGAAGTCTAATCAAATCTGTTAACATGTAACAGAAATTTCATGTTAAATACTATTGAGGTAGTCCCTGAATCAATAAGCATTAACTTGAGCAGTCATGAAAAACAAAAGAGTTCAGGTTAAACTGCAAGCTTTCCAAAGAATGGAAAATTAATTTCTCTGTCATATCTGACCTACAAGGTAGAGTCCTTCATATCTCTCATTCTATTCCTAGATGAATCCTTTGAGAAATGTCATGTGCCAGACAGTGCGAAATCAGAGTATTCAGTGTGGAATAAGACAAATACAGCTCATAGAACCTAGATTCTAGTGGAGACAGACTAACCAAAATTAGGGGGAGCATACACAACTTGCAATAAGAACTCTGAAGAAAACAAACCTGAAAAATGAATTGAATGTCATGGTCAGGAAGACCAATCCATAAAGTTGATAGTTAGACTAAGAAAGACCCACTGCAGATTAAGAACATGAGCAAAGAGGTAGAAGGAAGTTTTCAAAGAGCAGAGGCAGGACAGACCTTGCAACTTGAAGAAATGGAAAGAACACTGGCATAGAGAATAAATGTACTGAGTGCGACATAGAAAAGTTTAAGTTGGAAAGAAAATCAGGCAGGATTTGACCTTATACAACTTTAAGAGCTGGTCTGGTCTATAAAGCTGCAGCCTTTGTGTCTCATGTTAGATTAAAACTCCACAGTCTTTGAGAAAGGAAAGGTAAAAGTTTCAGGGTAAGCTGAACCTTGTCAGTTTTTGTTTTTGTTTCTAATCTTTATTCTGTGGGCTTCCTGCAGAACAAGTCAGAATCCTTCACCTTGGAGCTAAACACACATAGCCCAGGAGTCAGAACAGCTAGAGGATCCAGGGCAAAGTAGAGTTAGTTGCAGTCCCATACCTGCCTCATGCTAATAATATTAGTCAGCAGCTCTGTGTCATTATGAACTACCACGAATGCTGCTTCACCTCTGCTGAAAAAATTTCACTCAGGACTCTCCTGTGGTTCATACTAACCAGAACCTTATAAGGAAGGCAATTCTAGGAAATGTGATCCAGCATAACCACATTGACACATGACAAAATAATCATGCCCTGTAAGACTTTTGAGCCTGGAATTCCTCCTAGAAACTCAAACAATGTATGCCAAATAGAATTCTTTAATTTCCCTTCCAAATCTGCTTCTTTTGGGGTTTCCCTATTTTTATAAGCAGTAACATTCCTTCATCTCAAAACTTTCTAATCTTCTAAATTCTTCTCTGATATTGTCTCCCTCTTGCTTCCATCAGTCTAGATTCAAATTCTATTGTTTTACTTTTGCAATACCCACCCCATTGCTTGAGTTCAAACTCACAATCATTATACACACATATTGATTTCTTATTTAGTTTGATATCAGCCTCCTTCTGGAACCCAGAAGTACAAAAAGGGCAATAAGTTACAGTGGAGGAACTAGCATGCTGTTATCATTATTTAAACCAAGAAAAACACACTGTAGACAAGATGAAAGATCTAATAAAAATGTGTTCTTACTCCTGATTCTAAAACTTTAACAGCTGGGCTTTCCCATGTGGAATAATGTTACATAAATAACTCAACCAGGAAAAAGGGGCTATGAAGAAGTCCAACAAAATGATAGATGATCTAGGACACTGCATATCACACCCAGTGGAGTTACAAGGAAACGAATGGTCATAGGGAAATGATGGTAAGCTAGTGCTGGCATGTGTGATCAGTGGACTTTGCAAAACCTCACAATCACCTGAGTCATGATATTGCCAATCTCTCGGAGGGATTTTTTTTTCCCCTACTTAAGTTTATTAACACCCCTATGGACCTTTTCTGCTCCATCCAAATTTGTCATCTTTTAATTAGTCACAGAAGTCCAGGGTGGAAAAAATGACTCTTCAGAAAATAAACTGGTTGAGCTTTACAACTAAAACAAGCCCCCAATTCTTTATTTATTTTTTTTTTTAGAGGGAACAAATATCACTGAATACATCCTATTTAGTATTCTTGTTCACATAATCTAGTCAAAACTAATGTTATGTTTCCTACTGCCACTTTTCCTTTTCAACAACGTATATACAGTTGCAATTCTGACACAAATGCCAAAAGGCATTATGAGAAAACAGGAATGAAGAATAGAACTTCAGCTTAAGAAAGTGAATGCATTTGCCTTTTCCATTTATGTGATGAGAAAATGCATGCTGGGATTGGAGCCACAATCCAGATGGTAGGTACAGAACTTGGTGGTAAGTATCCTCACCTCTCCAGATTTAGGTTAGAAAATTTTTAAAAGCCTTCCCAGCTCTGAAAAACATCCTGTATTTATAGCACAAATTTTCTTCACTGGTCCCCACTTAACCAGCAGTTACTTAAACATGGACAAAGAACTCCTTTGAGAGTGAAGAATCAGTATTTTTTACCAGATATGTTCTTGAAAATCCCATCATGACTGGAAGTTCTACGTATGTGAAATCTAGTGCAGTTCACTGTAGTTTCTGAAGAGTTATAGAAGACATTCTGTGATTACACCAGCAGTTACTTCAGAAGGGAACATTCATGGAGCATGCAAGCAAAAGAGTCAACTGTTTGTTACTTTTGATTATTGCAGGATCACTTGGAAATATCTCTCCCTTCCACCCTACCTGAAACCTGAAATTACACTTTTTAAAAAACTTAACATTCATGTTTTATAAGTGTTTATAGAGTAAGGGCACAAAACATTTTAAATAAGTCCCTTCCTTCTCCCTGAGTCCTTGGATGTAATACCTACAAATATTAGGTAAAGGAATCAGCTTCTTGAGGTACTGCATTTGATCCAGTTCTATTTAAAAAAAAAAAAATTGAGAAGAGCAACTGTTTTCAAAGTTGTTGTGGAAATTGATGATCTCCAGGCTGGTCAAAAGGAATTCAGCACTGGGAACTGATAGACACTGAATAGCAGACAGAAGTGAGCTGAGCTGGAGGATGTGCTATAGAAAAGGCTGACTGAGCAAAGCAGCTCCTTATACAACAGCCTAAGGGTCATGGGCCGTCTCTCTTAGAGCCAGTGCTTCTAGTTTTCCTTCATTCAGGGTGCCCCAGGGCTTTAGCTGAATTTTAATAATAGAAGATGTAGGAAATCAATA